GGAGGTGCTTGAAGTAGTTTCTAAAGACATTTTGGTTGTATTTGGTGTATTTGTTGTAAAGTGAAGCAAGAAAGGAGTACAAACAAAATTGAATTTATGTGGTTTTTTCGCAATTGAGAATTTATAGAGTTGCAACCATTTTTTCCTAAGAATATTTTATCAATTAACAATTATTTATGAAGCATTAATAACAAAACTGGAATGCAGACTGTAACTTGTTTCTTCTACCCTCCAAGTATAGTCCAATAGGCTGCTTGTCTTGGTTGAAATGTTACCAATAGTCTTAGTCTTCACTAAAAAACAAATCTTTCAAATAGATTATATAAAGTTCCAACAAGGACCTATAAATTTTCATCGAATTACACTTTATGACACTTGCTGTGTAGGTACAACCGTCTCAAGGATATAAGACCAATAGTCAATTTATGATTCTATGATTAGCTTTCTACTTATATCTATGGCTCGAAATACCTGTGCTCGACCCCGTCCGGTACAACTTGATAATAATTTGATAATAATTTGATAATAATTCGATAATAGTTTGATAATAGTTTGATACTAATTTGATATCTGCTTAGTGGATCCCATACTCGAAATCAAGAAACTACCACTTACAGTTTACATTTGGCTGGTCAATAATAGTACATTGGCTAAACAGAACCAATTTATTATCGTAACGTGTTTATTTCAACAACAGTGAATTGAGAGTATTCCCAATATGAAAAGGCTCTAAGCTTTCGTTCAAAGAACCAATTCGCAATTAATTAATATTTTGCATCTTACCCATCGTATCAAATGAAGTGACTGATTCAGTCTTATAAGATCTTGAAATACACACCATTTTGTCTTGGTGGATAATACAAGAGAACAGAGCAATTTATGCAATTAAATGTATCCAATTACAAGACGACTTCTTTTTGTCTGAGTATAAGAGATAACATTCTTGTTGAGGAAATTGTGTGCTGTATAAATATTGTTTGTCCTATCATTGTCCTATCAGTACCTACTTGGTATACCCTTTATTAAATTGGATCATAATCATACGTTAAACAGTTCGATATTCTCAGAAAGAGTTAGAGATATAATTTTGAGCAACAAAATGGTGGTGGTCCATGGTCCATTCGAAGATGGTGATATCACAAGCCGATAATCAAATAGAGGTATCTGATACAGTATTTGTAAGTACTAGACAGCTTGAGGTTTAATTTGCAAACTTTTTATACAAGTAAACATCCTTTGGTGACCGGTGAGTATTTAATTAAAAAAGACATATCAGCGAATACAACACACCCTTAGGGCCGACCTTGAAATGGTAGAAGACAAATTAACCCAGGGGGGAAGTCGATGCTAAACCTCCTTTCTAAGCAAACAAGGTTCAGTCCACAGAGTCCCAGGAGTAAATGTGTAGAGAAACCAAAAGTCTTGAAAGATACGCAACCCCAATTTGATTTACGTTGTTTACGCAGGTCCTACGTAAGCTTATTTCATCCGCCAAGGTAGACTAGTTGGAGGCAGACCATATCTGTTTTCACAACTTACATGTAGTTTGTTACGAAGCATCTAAAGGCAAAGAGCTTTAAATAAATCTGCCTTTTGGCAGATTTGCATGTGGGTCCAACCTATGAGTGTATTATTCTAAACAAAAATGTATTAAAACCTATTAATCTATATCCAATATTAAGATCCGAAGGATCATATTCTGCCGGGAGGCAGATACAACGTGTGGGCCGCATCTAGATCCGAAGGGATCCAAGGCGGAGTGTTTGATTATATCTGCCTTCGGCAGTACCAGCTGCTTCGCAGTGTATAAGGCTACGCCTTCTGCCTACGGCAGATTGATTGCCTCCGGCGGAAATAGCTGCTTCGCAGCAAATACTCTAAAGGCTTCGCCTTTATCTGCCTTCGGCAGATCAGCTATATGGCAATCAACACCACCAACAACACACATAAAACCACCACCAAAATCCCAATACACCAATTACTAGCCGTTTCCTTATTCTTTTCCAAAAAGATATTCACCCTCTTTAAACCTCGTTGTAATTTATTATCCACATTCTCTAATTCATAATCCAATTCTTCTAACATATATCCTTGATCTTCTAATTCATTGCCCATTAATTGTGCTTGTTGATTTAGATTCTTCATTGTGACATGGATATTATCCAATTGGACGTCTTGTTGTTGGATGAGTTCTTGTTGTTGATATTGTGTCATGCCGGAAGAAGGTTCTGTGAATGGGTTTTCAAAGAGAGTGGCATCGTCGTTGTCCTGACTTATTCGATTTGACATGGTGGTGATGGGACGAGGGGTGGTGGTGGTCCATTGGCGTTTAAGATCGGTGATTTTGTGGGAGAGGGATTGGAGGATGTCTTGACGAGTTTTTATGTCTTGTGGTGTGAGGTTGAATTGAGACGGGTGGGATTGGGAGATGGAGACGGCTTGTTGGAGGTCTTGGTAGATTTCTTGGAGTTCTTGATAATTGTTGTTGAAATCTTGGGTGAGTTCTGGAGAGGGTTGGTGGTGTTGTGATTGTTGGGAGATGAGGTTTTCTAGGATTGAGATTGTGTTCCATGCATCTTCATTTACTTCGTTGAATGGATCCATTTTGGGTCGTTGTGTTAGCTTGTGTTCTATAAAGTGATTGTGTTGAGTGGGATGGTTCGGTTGTGTTGAAGGAAGTTGATGAGTGGATTTTTTTTGGGTGAGTGAAATTTCTCAAGGCCCTTAAGTTATATGAAGCAGAAGTAAACAAGACATAAATACAATGGATTCAATAACAGAAGATTCACAAGTCCATCAACGGGAAGAGCACAATGGAGTCAAAGAAGAACCATCCACAGGGAATGAAGCGATAACTGAACAATCACCAATACCAACAATTAAACGACCAAAATTAGAATCTCGAGAACAATCCATTGATAATTTTGATAAATCCCAGAAACAACCACCAATGCATGAAATAGTTGGAGGATCATCAGTAAGGCGATATCTTAATCAATATTTAACTAAACATTTATTAGAAGGATTAAAAGAAGTTGGACAAAAGAAACCTCAAGATCCTTTAGAATATTTAGGGAAGTTTTTAATTGAAAGATCACAAGAATTGAAGAAGATAGAAGGGGAAGAAGAGTAGTTGAATGTATATATATATATATGTGTGTATGAGTGTAGTATTAGTTTGTAATATATGAATGATTTTGAAACAAATCGATTGCTATCCAAATGGTTGTTGATTATTGTTGGAGTGCAACCCTTTAGAATATAGAAGCGTAGATTGAAACATGTTTACAAAAGAGAGAGAAGATCTTTAATAAGCATTTTCTCTAGGTATATATTATATTACTAGAGATCTATTGATTTGGCTTCTTAGGAAGGTCACATAAGAATTGAATTGGTGGGTGGTTGGTTGGTTGGTTCCAAAAGGATAAAATTTGGGATTGAAGTTAATGAATATCCATTGAATTATATCAAAATGGTAAGTCTCTTATTCTCTTACATCAAGTATCGATATTAGAATATATATAAAGATGGACTTACTTTAAGTTATAATGATAAGAAGCATTCCCTATTATTGTGTCTTTATTCATGAACATATGTAAAAGAAATAGTCGATTACTTATCAATCCCAACCTTCCCCTAGATAGATAATCAATCAATCTCAATTCAAAACAATTCAGTTGTAACGATAGAAAGCAAAACCCTTGAATGAGTATTACGAACAATCTACATAAATCTTGTTACTTAAGTTCCAAGAAACAGGAGATATCCCTTAGTGTATTGTTTTGTAAATTGTTCATAATATTCATTTAACAATTCCGTCTTCGTCACAAATGCTTATGAGATTTAATTAACTCTGTTTATAATATATTGCAGTAGATATATATATATATATAACATTACTTACCTCCTCATCATCTCTCTTCTTCTTCTCTTCTTCTTCTTCTTCTTTTCAATGGCAAAAATAAAATTAAAATAAAAAATCAGACGAAAAAAAAAACTTAATAAATAGACTCAAAAAAACAGCTGACAATTCATCTTATTGATTGATTCATCTATAAAAAGAGAGACAGAAATATCCAATCAAAGCAATATGTCCAATCTAGATACAAGACAATTACGACCTTATTATGATCATGATACATTCAATGCAGGATATTCAGTCATATTCAAAAAAGATGTTGGTTTAATTGATATGTCAACTAATAAACCTATAACAGCAAACTTAAGTTCTTCAAATATTGATAAAGTAATAAATAATTCTGGTCTTCTTATACTGAAATCATCATCATTCGGAAGAGGTGGTACTGGTACTACTGGTGGTATTGGTATTAATGCTAGACATATATCTACAGGGGCAACTTCCACAACTGGTGGATCTGGTGATAAGAATTATATTTATGATTTAGAATTTAATGAATATTTTGATTTACATAATTTAACTGAATTAATAAAGAATTTATTATGGAATTTTATTAAAAATTATATGAAAGTTGTATTATCTCAACCCTTGGAAATTGTTAGATTGGTATTACAAGTTGGTAAATTTGATTTCATTGAGAAGCCATCACAACAAGTAAAACCTGATTTATCTAAACGATTATTAAGTGAAAATAATATAAATGGTAGCACCAATGACATAATAGCATTATCGCCAACTATTTCAACTGATGAAGAAGAAGAAATCAATTATTTCCAACCAAATCTTGAGCAACAAGTATGGTCAACCCAAAACTCAATGCATCAAGATGCAACAGCAACAACTCCAACACCCACATCAACAACAGAGACAGCAACTCCACAACCAGTACAAGAAGCACCAATTGCAAGGAAATCACCTTCTACTAATAGTATCCGCAAGAAATCAAGATCTAATAAAATCACACCCAAATCAATCCATACCATTGACATCTTAACCTCTATCGTCAATAAAGATGGTCCATTTGCTTTATTTAGAGGTATAAACGCCTCATTCATCTATCAAACCCTTTCACGTACCATTGAAGCTTGGATCACCGGATTTGTTTCTCCATTTTTGGGTGTCCCCGATCCATTCTTTTTAGATCTAACCCATTCAAATGATCCATTTAAAAGTTTATGGTTATCTGTTTCCGCATGTGTTTTGACGGGATTAGTATTAATGCCATTGGATTTAATAAGAGTGAAATTAATGTTGACTCAATTCACCACCACCACGCCAGAAGAATCAGAGAATAATAATCGATCAGTTCGAGAATCAATTCGAAATTTCCCAATTTATTATCTTACTCATCCTCCATGGCCAATTGTATGTTTAACTGTTCTTCATCAATTTTCAACTAGTATTTTCCGTAAGGCGGCTCCATATATATTATTAATTAAATTTAATATTGATTCTTATTCAAGACCAAATATTTTCACATTTGTTAATTTGATATCTTTGATTATGGAATTTTTTATAAAATTACCATTGGAGAATTTATTAAGAAAATCACAATTAGGATTCTTGTTATTAGATAAATCACAAGATGAAATGAAGGTGATTACAGTTTTAAACCCGGAAGAGAATTTAATTGTGGAATATAATTCAGGAGAAATGAGTGATGAAGATGTGAATGCAATGAGTCTTTGGCAAAGAGTTAAACTGTTGGGATTGTTTAATGGGTGGAGAGTTGGGGTGCTTAATGTGATTGGATTTTGGGGTTATAATATTCTTAAAAGTGATGGTGCTGAATTAAAAGAAGAAAAATTGTAAATAGTGAGCTCTATCTGTTTTTTATGTATACTGTATCCCAATGCATAACCATTTTGATATGAAACCTTGTTAGTCTTGAATCGTATGATTATCAAATTCGTCCTGTAGAGCCAAGTAGTCTTCTTCTTCCTATGACTTTCTAAAAGTAAAGCCACAGTTTTCTGATAGTGAATAGTAGTTTTGATTGGCATGGAGATGATGTGAACTGAAAAAAATAAAAAACCGTTATCCGGATTTATGCAAGTCACGTGCAATGTATTGTCAATTTTCCATCTGTTGCGAAGCCAGTTTTGCAGCCACACTAAAAATATTTCGCTTAACTTTAAACAATAAACTCCATCTCAGGATTTCCCCATTTTTCACAACTTTTCAACTATAAATATCCCAAGAAATCCTCCCCTTGAATCTGTTCTCACATCTCCCTTTTTTGCTTTTTCTTTTCTTTACCAATACCACACGCACAATGACTCAATCCAACAAACAACCAAAGAAAAAACTCATCCTCAATGCTTTCGCCATGGCCTGTAGTGGTCACCAAGCCCCGGGACTCTGGAAACACCCGGAAGATCAATCTCGCCATTACAACACCATCGAATACTGGACCCATCTCGCTCAACTCTTAGAACGTGGGAAATTTAACGCCTTCTTCCTCGCTGATGTTCTTGGTGGATATGATGTCTATAATGGTCCTCATAATATTACTGCGGCTGCTAGTTCCGGTGCGCAATTTCCCGTGGGGGATCCATCTGCAGTTGTGAGTGCTATGGCTGCCGTGACTAAGAATATTGGATTCGGGTTGACTTATTCGACCATTAGTGAGGCTCCTTATCATTTCGTGAAGAGGATTGGAAGTTTGGATCATTTGACTAAGGGGAGGATTGGTTGGAATGTTGTGAGTTCATATTTGGATTCTGCTGCTAGGAATTTATTAAATGGTGACCCATTGCCTCCACATTCGGAAAGATATGAAAGGGCCGAGGAATATATTGAGGTGGTATATAAGTTGTTTTTATCCTCTTGGGCTGAAGATGCAGTTGAATTGAAAGATGGGGTATTCACGAATCCTGAAAAGGTTAGAGAAATTAATCATAAGGGGAGACATTTTGTTGTTCCTGGTCCAAATATTGTCGAACCAATTCCTCAAAGATTACCAGTTATTTTACAAGCAGGTACTTCTAAAGCTGGTAAGGAATTCGCCGCCAAGAATGCCGAAGTTGTCTTCATCACCACATTCACTCCAGAAGTCTTAGGTAAACAAATCGCCG